CGTGCCCTACTCGTCCGATATCAGGATCTCCTCATCTATATGCGGCTCTGATCGAGCTGGACTATCCTGAGTTGATTTGTCGGAAGGAATAGGTTCCGGACTTAAGCTGGGGCTAGCAGAAAGCGCTGCTTTCGAATCCCTGCCATATCGATCGCTCCCTGCAGGAGATATTTTGCCGTCCAAACTTTCGCCCTTCGTAGTATCGCCTGGTTTTTCATGACCGTGAATGTCCTCTTGAGTAACATCTTGAGTTACTTTTCCAAAATCCACGCTAGTTGACATAACAGGTTCCTCTCTTTTTTCAGAAATACCCAGATCTTTTTCTTCCGGTTCTCCTAAGTCGCCTTCAATTACGGTATTCCTAGGTATCTTTTTCTTTACAATGATCTCTTCAATAATTGTAACGAGAATGTATCGCGGCACAGATTTAACGATGACCATTTCTTCCAAGGCTTTCGGCGTGATCTTCTTTTTTTTCATAATGAATTCTTCAATAATATATTCTTCTACTTTCGCTCTTTCTTGCGACGCCAGCGGTTCCGTTTCGGATTCTTTTCCGTATTGAGGTTCAGAGGAAGTTTCGTCGTCTACAAAATCGAAGACTGCACTCCTAGGCATATTGTGCCGATTAATAATGTCTTCTATTATTTCCATCACTATAAATTGGGGCACCGAATACATCATAACTAATCTCTCGATCACCGTCAGACTGATCTTTCTTTTTCTCACAATAAACTCATCTAAAATGTGCTTCTCGATCTCCGCCTTCTTCTCGGCTGTCACTTTAATAACATCTTCTTCTTCATCGTCTGATTTCTCTATTTTGCTCGGTTGTCCGACGTCCGGCTCTTTAAAATCGGCAAATCGTTTCTCGCGGATCTTCTGCATTTTTTTCTCAATTGTCTCAGGAGAAGTTATAGGACTCTTATTATCTTTCTTACATTCATCCTTCTCATCAAGTGGTTTCCCCATGTCGAAATGTTTTTCCTCTTGAGAAAGTGGCTTCTCTGATAATTTGTCATCGAATAAACTGGCTGTTCTAGATCTGACCGGTGTTTTCTCACCAGCATCGAAAACGCTTTGCGAACGTGATCTATCCATCGGAATTTTGTCCACTGGCGAACTAGCTCGCGACGATTTAGCAGATTCGTCTTTTGAGATCTTTCCGGTATCCAAACTAGGCGAAATTGATTGTTCTCCTTTTGCTTTTGGTATTTGTGAATCTTTAATATCATCAAGTTTCTCACTAGCAACACTGGATAATTTAGATTTGTCATCGGCTGAACTCGGCGAAATTGATCGTTCTCCTTTTGTTTCTGGTATTTGTGAAACTTTAATATCATCAAGCTTCTCACTGGCAACACTGGATGATTTAGATTTGTCTTTTTGATCATCGGCTGAACTCGGCGAAATTGATCGTTCTCCTTTTGTTTCTGGTATTTGCGAAACTTTATTATCATCAAGCTTCTCACTAGCAACACTGGATGATCTAGATTTGTCCTTTTGATCGTCAGTTGAACTCGGCGAAATTGATCGTTCTCCTTTTGTTTCTGGTATTTGCGAAACTTTAATATCATCAAGCCTCTCACTGACAACACTGGATGATTTAGATTTGTCCTTTTGATCATCGACTGAACTCGGCGAAATTGATCGTTCTCCTTTTATTTCTGATATTTGCGAAATTTTAATATCATCAAGCTTCTCACTAGCAACACTGGATGATCTAGATTTGTCCTTTTGATCGTCAGTTGAACTCGGCGAAATTGATCGTTCTCCTTTTGTTTCTGATATTTGCGAAACTTTAATATCATCAAGTCTCTCACTGGCAACACTGGATGATTTAGATTTGTCCTTTTGATCGTCGGCTGAACTCGGCGAAATTGATCGTTCTCCTTTTGTTTCTGATATTTGCGAAACTTTAATATCATCAAGTCTCTCACTGGCAACACTGGATGATTTAGATTTGTCCTTTTGATCATCGACTGAACTCGGCGAAATTGATCGTTCTCCTTTTGTTTCTGATATTTGCGAAACTTTAATATCATCAAGTCTCTCACTGGCAACACTGGATGATTTAGATTTGTCCTTTTGATCATCGGCTGAACTTGGCGAAATTGATCGTTCTCCTTTTGTTTCTGATATTTGCGAAACTTTAATATCATCAAGCTTCTCACTAGCAACACTGGATGATCTAGATTTGTCCTTTTGATCGTCAGTTGAACTCGGCGAAATTGATCGTTCTGCCTTTGCTTCTGGTATTTGCGAAACTTTAATATCATCAAGCCTCTCACTAGCAACACTGGATGATCTAGATTTGTCCTTTTGATCGTCAGTTGAACTCGGCGAAATTGATCGTTCTCCCTTTGCTTCTGGTATTTGCGAAACTTTAATATCATCAAGCCTCTCACTGACAACACTGGATGATTTAGATTTGTCCTTTTGATCGTCGGCTGAACTCGGCGAAATTGATCGTTCTGCCTTTGCTTCTGGTATTTGCGAAACTTTAATATCATCAAGCTTCTCACTAGCAACACTGGATGATCTAGATTTGTCCTTTTGATCGTCAGTTGAACTCGGCGAAATTGATCGTTCTCCCTTTGCTTCTGGTATTTGCGAAACTTTAATATCATCAAGCCTCTCACTAGCAACACTGGATGATCTAGATTTGTCCTTTTGATCGTCGGCTGAACTCGGCGAAATTGATCGTTCTGCCTTTGCTTCTGGTATTTGCGAAACTTGAATATCATCAAGCCTCTCACTGGCAACACTGGATGATTTAGATTTGTCCTTTTGATCATCGGCTGAACTCGGCGAAATTGATCGTTCTGCCTTTGCTTCTGGTATTTGCGAAACTTTAATATCATCAAGCCTCTCACTGACAACACTGGATGATTTAGATTTGTCCTTTTGATCATCGGCTGAGCTCGGCGAAATTGATCGTTCTCCCTTTGCTTCTGATATTTGCGAAACTTTAATATCATCAAGCTTCTCACTGGCAACACTGGATGGTCTAGATATGTCCTTTTGATCGTTGGCTGAACTTGGCGAAATTGATCGTTCTCCCTTTGCTTCTGATATTTGCGAAACTTTAATATCATCAAGCTTCTCACTAGCAACACTGGATGATCTAGATTTGTCCTTTTGATCGTCAGTTGAACTCGGCGAAATTGATCGTTCTCCCTTTGCTTCTGATATTTGCGAAACTTTAATATCATCAAGCTTCTCACTAGCAACACTGGATGATCTAGATTTGTCCTTTTGATCGTCAGTTGAACTCGGCGAAATTGATCGTTCTCCCTTTGCTTCTG